GAAAGAGATGTGCAAGGGAGAGCTGATTGTTGCAAAAGGGGATGCTTTGGATGTACACTGGTAAAGATATTCTTGTCTGACTGGAAATGACTGGAGCACTAAAGCATGACAAGCAGGATACTGCCTCAGTGGAGGTGCTTGCTTCATGGGCTTTTTGGTTTTAAGGTCTACTTTGTAGTTCATTTTAGGTACACATGAAAAAAAGTGTATTAAAATGTCTATATATGTATTTGTATACACCCACATTTTGTATCCTTACATCTCTAAGTTCCTAAAGGCTTCAAGCCTCAAGGGCCATGCGTGCATATACATTACAAAAAGAGATGCCAGTTAACTGAGATCAGGCTTTCCTTCCTGGCTGTGTGGAAAATAAGTGGGCAAGATGTCTTGAACTGAAATCTTGCAAGTGTGCAGAGAGAAGGGGTCAGCCAAGCACCAAACGGTGGCCCTGCTTTTCCCTGTCCCTGGCTGTTCCCTGCAGAGGTGGCATCCAGCTGCCAGTGCTGTCCTGGGGATTTGGGGAGCTCCCTCCTGGGGGACTTGGAGGGACAGACTGAAACACACTTGGTTCTGCTGTCTATGGGTCTGGCACTCCGTGCGCTGGAGCTCCTGTTTTCCCACGGGGCTTCCAGTAGACTGTTTTGGTTTCTTTACCAAGAAGGAGGAGGTTTGGTGGGCAAGAGGGGGAGGGACTTGGGAGGGGAAAGACAGTCAAAATTCACCATACGATAGTTAGACAAATCTTCATAGAGGTCCATCTGCCTGCTAGCTGTGTGCTCTCTCTCACTCTCTTGCTTCCTCTCGCATTGACTCATTCTCTGCAGGACGTACGCTGTTGTAGGGCTAAAGGTCTCCTTTTGTCAGGCTAAGGTCGAGTCCCTGGTTGGCAGAGGGCAGCCCTTCATACAGGCCTGTCCACGGCGTACTGGCAAGGGCTCAGGTTGGAAGCTGCCGTCTGCACCGCTGGGTAGGTGAAGTTGGCGTGCTGCTTGGCCTTCAGCCGCAGGCTGGCCAGGCTGGAGTTGCACGTGTCCCTGTACATATAGGGGCTGGCTGTTGAGGCGTAAGGACAGGCACTGGATGAGACAGCAGAGTTGAGGCTTGGGCTGTTCAGGTTGTTGATGTTTCCCAGGTTGTTAAGGCTGGAGGCTGGTACTCCGGTCACTGCAGAAGGGACCATGGATGAAGGCATGGTCATCGAGGCAATGGAGCTGGGTGGGGAGAACATGGGCTGGGAGGAGAGGGGACTGACATTCATAGAGTTGAAGAATGGGAAACTCTTAGCCGAGAGCGGGCTGGTGGCAAGCCCCTTGGTGGCCCAGTTGTTGTAGGAATAGCTGGAATACATGTCATCATAAGGTTGCATCAGTCCATTGAACTGGGCTCCAAAGCTGTTCTTGCACAGTTCAGCCTGTTGGTTCCTCTCCCGTTTCCTCCATTTAGCTCTGCGGTTTTTGAACCAGACCTGTGAGAGAGTGAGAGAGAAGGGAGGGGATGGAAGTTGCTCTGGACTGTCCCTGGAATGGGCCTTGCCCCTCCCTCTTTGCCCAGCAAAGCAAGAACTGTTGAAGGGCTGGGGATGCTCCCAGGGAGCTTTGGAGACTGAGCATCAGGAATGAGTTGCAGAAAGATGTCTAGGCTATAGGGTCATTTCCCAGCAAGAATTGCCACCTAGACCAAAACCTAACCACTACCATTTTACAATACACAGAATAACCAACCTCACTCAACAAATGGCTGCCCTTTACATGGGGAAAAGTAAGGAAAATACTTGCTGTATTTCCAAATTATGACAGAGCAGGAGGGGTTGGGATTGTGTGACTTAGGAGCTAAGTATTTGACAGATGTGGTTTGACAGTTGCTGAGTGGAGGAAATAAACTCTTGTTTTGACTTCACCTCAGGACTGGCTTGGGATGAGATGTTAGAAGTCTGTCTTCTAACAGGAAAATCTGCTAGTGCTGGAGAAACTCAAATAACATAACTTCCTAGAGCATGGAAGCTGCTAGAAGGCTATTCATCATGCTGCTAACTCATATTTCTAGCAGTGGAAAGAAGCTCTCATTCCAGCTGGAGTCCTGCCATGCTATGCCTGTGACTGAACAGCGGTTTTGGAGCCCCAGAGTGTGCCCTTCAGCAAGGCTAAGGCTGGGAGACAATGGCACTTGGGTCTGCCAGGCTGGGGCAGCTGGCTGGTGGGGCAGTGCAGGGCAGAGCCTGGACTTTGCATCCCCCAGTGTTATTGCAATATGGCACTGGATAAGGCAGGCACCACCAGTATTGGGTATGTGCTTGTGGTGTTTTCAAGACAGGGAAACTTTCTAGTGCCTCTAATTCCTTCCCTGGTTTGGGGACAGCTTGATAGCTTGTATCACAGCCTGCTTTCTCCCCACAAGCTCAGATCCAAGAAGGTGGGAGGGCTGCAGTCCTACCCGGACTCGTGCCTCTGTCAGGTTGGTCCAGACTGCAATCTCCTCCCTGGTGCTCATGTCTGGGTAGCGGTTTCTCTGGAAAGTGGCTTCCAGCTCCTGGAGCTGTTGGCTGGTGAAATGTGTCCTCTGCCTCCGTTGCTTCTTCTTAAGTGAGCCGTCCTCAGGGTTGGAGTCATCTGTCTGGTTTTGCTGGGACTTCTCCGTGTCTGTGTGAGAAACAAAAAGATGGGAAAGATCCCCTGAGTTAACCTGAGGGGCTTGGTTGCATCTGGGGAATTTTCCTTGGTGGTCCCGCTCTGCTGTTGTGACCAGCAGCTCCAGCTGCATCCACAGGAGCGGTTCCGTCCCCCTCCCTCACCCTTGCCAGCTGGGCATCCACCTTGTACTGAAACCAACACCCCATTGGTACAGCACAGCTTGACCTTGTTTAACTGCTGTAATGGATGTCAACTTCCAAGTGACTGCATTTTGATTTTCCAACCTTCCAATCTTTGATTTTCATGTGTCACATTTAAGATGGATGATAGTGGCAGAATTTACCCAGGGCAGCAATTTCCTACTCTGCTTAAATCTCTCTGTGTAAGGCATCCACTGGAAAAACTGAATGAGAATTGTTATGACACAGCAAAAGATCCAGTTGCTTTTTTAGTAGCAAAGTGATAGGGAAAGGCAAATTGTCAATGAGAGCAAGTGCAGACTTTTAAAAATTTGTGTTCCTCAGGTTTAGTTAATTCATCCTTCCACTTCTTCCCTTCTTCCTCCTCTACCTTCATACTTAAGTGCACAGATTTTTATTTTTCTGAAGTAGGAAAAGACCTCTCTTAGAGCTCACCATGAAGTAGTCCAGCATCTCTCTGTCCTTGTGCACTCACCCTCCTCCTCACTCAAAAACCCCTTTCCTAGAGTCAGCATCTTTCATTTTGTTGCCCCTTAAGTGAACATCTTGAATTTTTCCAGTGCTCACACTGGTATCTAAATAACTATCCCTGTGCCACGGGTTTTGATACTCTGCAAACATGGGTAGAATGCAAAATAAGTATATTCCATCATCAAAAGAAAATGTCACGTTTGAGTCACTCGGGCAGTCTAGAGGGCCCAACCATGGGGAAGAAAACTAAAACTTGTGTTTAAAAAAAATAAATAAAAATCTGCTGGGAACTAAGACAAGTCACCACAGAAGAAAATTATTCCAGTGAAAATAATCTCCGATGTTTCCCTCTTCTGCTGATCTAGAAGCAAGATGAAGCAGTTCCAACTGAAAATCAGGCTTTCAACAGGGAGGGGAGATGTTCTTATATAGTGGGAAATACTCAGCTGAGCTAAGTAGAAATTATTGCAAACAATAGCTCAACTGTTGCATTTGGGAGAAGAACCTTTAAAATATCCTGGCATCACTGTACTGAGATTCAGATTAAGAGGAGTTTTTGTTTGGTTGTAGTTATTTAGATGGAAGCTATCTTAAAAATCTTCCAAGTCCAGGAAAATCCTGACATGGACAGTATCTTGTACAGCACTTTAAAAAGCAGGGAGGCAAGAAAACAGTAACCTGAATATAGCTGGGAGAGAAAAGTGTGTTCTTCCAGTCAGGTGGATGTACTCTGAAAAAATAAGTCCCATACAAGCTAAATCAAAAATGAGAGCCTAGACAGAGGCTGAAAAGCATCTGGGCTCTGACAGAGAAAGGACTCTGCTGCAGGGCAGTGCTGTACCCACCAGCAGGTGCTTTAATGGAGCCTGGCCCTGGGAGGCAGGCCCTGTGCCAGGAACCTGGTGCCACTACCCTGTTTCTGTGGCAGCATGTTAGTTCAGAATCCTCTCCCTGTTATTCCTGAGAAAACCCTCTTTGCAGACATCTTCCTCTGGAGGACTGATGCTAGAGCTGTGGAGAGCATTTGCAGGAGAGACACTCACTCTTCACAGAGGGAAGCCTGGGTGTGGTCAGAAAAGGTTTGTTCGTATGGGTTATTGCCTGAAGAAACAGAGTTCCCACAGACTCCCCACCTGCTGCCTCCCTTCTGAGACAAGTTTAGTGCTATCCACGAGCAGGAAAGCTAACACAAGGAGAGCTATCTGGCTGTTGAGGGAGAGGTCTCCACTGTGCATTGGCTCTCAACAGCGGGACACAAGCTGGTTGTGCTGACCAGAAAGGTACCAGCACCAAGACCGGCTCATTTTTCCATCCAGGTTGTACCAGCAAGAGAACTTTTGCAGCACACTCTTGGAACAGAAGAAGCCATAGGACCTGGACAGTGGAGTGGTAGGAGCTGGTACTCTCCTTGATCCCATTAACATCCTCATGTGGGGATCCCATGTTCAGCAGAACTCTTGGGATCATGCTCTTAATGTGGAATTTTTTTTATAGTGGTTCTTTTCAAGGGGATAAATCTGGTTTCTCTAGCTCAGTGCTCTAAGCCAGTGTTGGAAGAAGGAGATTCCTGTATTATCCATCTCCAATACAGATTAAAAGGGGAGTGATACCACCACATCTGAGCTTGTTATTAGGAATGGCTCAGTACAGATGAAGGGACAACATTTGGTTTGTTTGTTCATCTTTTAAGTCTGGATTAATTAAGAGCCTGAAGCACACAGGAGCCCCTGACAAATGTGGACTTCCAAAGGGGCGGCTGCCAAGCAGGAGGCTGTGCCCTAATGAGGAGCTCCTTCTCAGGACTGCCCTTCTTCATGTGGGAAGAAACTATACCAAGAGGGAAGGAAAATGGACCAAAGGTACCACTACTTAATGGGCTGCATCTGGCTGGAAGAGCTCTCCAAGCATCTTGCTTTGGTACTTATCTTCTCCATACCTTCTGGTGTAGAACTTTCCATAAATCTTATGAAGTCTTAGGATTTGTGGGAATTCTGACTTTGAGACTAGAAAAATCCCTGCAGGCACAGGTTCCTTTTGTTGTTCTCTCTGTTTCCACACCTGCTACCAGTGGCTCTTCCTGAGCATTACTTATAGGAACTGTTATATCTGTTTCTGCTTCTTCCCCAGGCAGGGGAAAAGTGCCCTCTGGAAATGGCAGAATTTGAGCATTGCAGCAAGGACTAGAAGTTCAGCAGTACAGGGAAACAAGGAACCCTACAGGAAGGACCTGTGGAAACCCCAAGCCCACACTGAGGAACAGAATTTGGGGAGATGCAAGGCAGTCCCTTGCCTGCTACCTTGTTTTCTTGTGCTGTCTGATCAAACCTATCAGGAGGGTATGTCACAAACCACTCCAAACCATCAAAGAGCACTTGGGATCTCTGAAAGCCATGCCCAGACAAGCAAAGTTTGTGCTCTCTTCCTCAGGATTTCTTACTTTCTGAATGAAGGCTGCAGAGTCAATAAGGGAGGAGGGGGAGTACTCTCTTGAGCACAAACAAGACGTGCCCCTCCTGGGCAGCCCTCGGTGGTGCACTCTGCTCCACCTGACACAGGTGACAAGTGACTGCCATTGGCCTCTCTGGAGTGGAGTCATGAGCTGCCAGCCTCTGCACACAGGTATCACTGGCAAACACCCACCTCCCAAAAACATTTTATTTCTAGATCATGTAAGACGTGGGGAGTGATGTGGCCAGGCACCCAGCATTTATTGTCAACCCAAAATAGGTTGTGGAATATATCTCGTGCACGTTCGCCCACTCAATGAAATGACTGCAGTCATAGCTGGAATTAGCAGCTCATGCCTAATGGAAAAAAAATTCAGCTCCTAAATTGGCAGTTATGCAACGTGCCAGGGTGGGCTCAGATGGAAAGGCCTCCTGACGAGGAGCCACAGAGCTTGGGGATGCACCCAACTAAGGTACGTGTGCAATGGGAATTCAGAGGCTGGATTCTCTGACCATAGTTGTCCTAATGTAACTCCCTTCGTGACACTTCAGGGAATTTTAATCTGCATTATTATGCTTATTATCTTTTGCATGTAGGTGAACCTGGAGACTTGTCCCCAGCCCTTGCCCCCCCTCACGCTGGCACCAGCAGGGACAGCTTTACACTGGTCTGCCACATCCAAAGTAATGAGGAATTAGGTGGTCATAGGGCAGATGCAAAATCCAGGGGAAACCTGAGCATTTGGTAGCTGGTTTTTGAGCAGGTGTGCATGGTGATGTTTCTTCAGAGCCTGATAAAGAATGTGGTTGTTATGGGAGTAAATAGTCAGAGGCACACTCTTGGGACAGGAGCAACCTGCTGCCCGCTGCAGAGCCTTCCACAGGTGAACAGCCTCATTCAACTAAAGTTGAGGCAAGACAACTTCTTATTGCATGAGCTTGAAAGTCCAGCCCAAGGTTAACCTGTTGCATGGGCAGTTGTAAGCTAAGCAATTTAAATAGAGTTGGGTTTTTTATTTGGTTTTGGATTGTTGTGTTTGTGGTTTGTTTTGTTTTTAAATAAGGGCAGTTTATTACTAGGTGTAGCCTTTTGTGCCTTGAATGGGATTTCTTGTGTCACAAGGAGAGCTCTCCTGCTCCGGGATCCAGTCTAGGTGAATACAATAAAATATCAGTTAAGTGATGACCTGGCTCTCCTGATTCCTGCTTGCTGTGGGCTGTGTCTTCTGCCAGAGGTCGCTTTCTGAAGCTGAGCCAGTCACCCCCCTATAGCCAGGACAGTGTTGTCACTGTGATATGTGCCCCTGTTCCTTCCTCCTGCTCACTGGGATGGCTGTACTGGCTTGCAGTATGAGAGCTCAATGTGTCCCCAGGAGCACCACAGCCAGCTCCTGCAAGCCACTGGACACCTGGATTCACTTGCAAGGATGGGTGGAGACTTCTCTCCCATCTTGAGCTTTGCACTCACCGCTGTGGTCCTGCCCTTTGCAGCTGTGCTCGTGTTGAGGGGTCCCAGAGTCTGAGAGAGACAAGGCTGGGCTGCGAGCCTCTGCATCTGCCAGCAGGTTGAAATCCATGAGGCAGGGATGGATGGCAGAGGAGGAATCTGAAAAAGCAGCAGGCACAGGGTGATTAGGGAGATGAATTTGTGCTTGTGACCTCTCCCCACCCACTCCAGGAAGGGCTTGCCAACCCTTGAGGAAAGGTCTAGGAAAAACAAAGGATCCCTGCGTGATCCTTGGACACCTTTGAGTTTCCTGGCTGGAAAATGGACATGCCAGACTTTATGCTGAGCTTCCCTATAAATCAAAGATCATCTAGTGACACTTCTATTTGCAGCCTTCAGAGAAAGAGCCTCCAATTTATAGGTGACATTCAGACTGAAATAGCAACGCTAGGAGCATGCTGTGTAACAGAGATCTGAGGAAGTGGTTCTGGGGCAGCCAAGGGCTGTTAGCACCTTCCCCAGACATCCCGCCTCTCCTATCCTCCTTGCCCAGCTTTCCTCCTCTTTCTCCCTCACTTGTCCACAAACCAGTCAAGCACAAATAAACCTTAATGCACAAAGGCAGTCCAGGGATGGCTAATGCAGACATACATGCATACACACCCCAAAAGAAAAGCACTCCTGTTCACGGTACTGGTAGGAAGGTGCTTCTGCCCAGACCTTGGGGCAGGGTAGTGCACATAGATTTCTTTCGGGTACACAAGGACCTCTTTGGCCTGAATTAACATGGGAATCGCATTACACAGCCTTGAGTGCCTGCCTGCAGGAGCAGCTCACTTCCAGCCTTAGGTCATCTTGGCCAAAGGCTGCCTGTGTCCCCTCAAGCAGCTATTCTGGAAGATGAACTCTGAAAGCATCCCAGCTGGGAAGCTGGTTGTGCTGCTCCCTGCATGTGCAGGCACCACTGGAAATCCTTGACCAATCTTTTCCATGCTTGTCTGTCCCTGGATCAAATATTCTCATCATGCTTTTACTCAGGACCACTGTGCCCTCCACCTGTACTGCCCAGAAGAGCCCAGCTGAAAGTACTGCTCTGCTGTGGACCATTTTGGTAGCTCATTAAGAGGCAGCTGTGAAACTGTAGGTGCTACAAGCCCAGCCATATAACCTTGGAAAGGCAAGTTGGCCCTCTATTGGCTCCTGCCCCTGCCACAGGCAGTACAGTGTATTGTAACTGGTGCAGGTGTAATGGTTTCTGAAGGCTGGACTGCTTCAAGTGGACCACAGCAACTCCTGACACTCTGGTCACCCCAGCTAATCTCTCACTTGCCCAATTAGGGAGCCTGTCACTCTAAACGTAAAACAACAGCTGATGCACCAGGCTGGGATCTGGGACTGCTGGGTTTAGGGGGGGTTTGGTCCCAGTGTTAGGGATTTCCAGACTGCAGATGGGGGACAGCTGGGAAGACTGGATTCTAGCAAGTGAAGGATTGCCCAGCCCCTCAAATCTGTGAGTGCCAGGGACAG